TTAAAAAAACTGGGCGCGCTGCTAAATAATATTCTAATGATATTAAAATTAAATTGTTACTTTTAAACTCATTGCAGCGCGCCCAGTTTTTTTAACTAAAATTTTTTTATTTCTTTTTATTTTATATTAATTTTAAATTTGCATAAGTTTTTAAATTTTAATTTTTTATAAAAATGTTTATTTATTCGCGCAATAATTGGACATTACTTTTTGTAGAGATATTAATTTTAGAACATAAATTTTTGTCAATTGATAGATTTTTTTACTTAAAAATACTTTTTTGTTTAACACTTTTTCACATGGCGCATGGACTTGGCATCTTGTTTATCTTTTTTTTTAAAAGATAAGTTTTTTTATGGTACAATTTTACATTTGCAAATATAATTTTTTGATTCATTATACGACTCTATATATGTCTGCAACTTTAATTTTCCACTGGTACAAGTTTCTACTTTCACTTGGCGCAATTTTTTTTTATTTCATTACTTTTGTTACGATTGTACATTGGTTTATAATCGATAATTTTCATACAATTCTATTGTACATGGGTTTGCAATGGATAATTTTTGTTAATGGTGTGCCCTTAACTGGTCGCCTTTTTTTACCTTTTTTAAAGGTGAGTTTTTAGAGATTATATCATTCATTTTTGTATATGATAAGCATCTTTAAATAAATAAGCAAATTAAATTTTTCTGGCATTTTCTTATTTTAGGTACATATATATCCAATAATTAATATACAAATTAAATATTATTCATCACACAATTTGTATCAAAATAATATATTTTTAAAAATTTATTTTAAATTTATTTAATCATTTTTATCATTGTGATTGTAGTGGCAAGGATTTTATTGCTCAGTGTCATTGCAAGCATCTGGCCTGTATATACCATAATATATTGTGTAATACATTGGCTAAGTATGACAATATGGATTTTGATAGATTCCCATGGAATATTGGAATTTTGTCGGACTTGCAGTCATCCACCACATATGCAGCCTACAATTAAAGAACGCATTTATTCCATATTATTTGCTTCCGTTATTGGCATAGTGCACATTTTTATATATCTCAATGCTGTAGATAGCAAAACATTTTGAAAACATCTATCTTTCTATGTTATCTGCTTTTTTGAAAATATTGCAGCAAATTTATTATGGCAATATGCTTGTCCTCCTGCAGTTAAAGAGGCTTAGTACTTTAATATAATCTTTATTATTTGTATCATTTCCTTTTTCTTGGGAATTACAGCAATGCTTTTGTACTATATTGTCTTGCATCCCTCAAAAAGACAACATACTTCAAACGCACCAGTTCAACCAATGTAACTTTGATATTTATTTACTTTAAAAAATGAGAGATAAATTATACAATATGCAATTAACCTTATCTTATGACTTTTATAAATCTTATGATAAAATCTAACTCTCTCTTAATCTTTATTATGAAAAGAATCTCGGTATTATATGAAATAATTTCATTGTATAGTTTAACTTTCAAAAATTTTGCAAAATAAAATAACTCACATTGTATTTCTACCATATATATAAAAAAAAGATAGGTAAATATAAATAAATAAATATATATTTATGATATACAATAAATAAATATATATATATATATATATATATAAAATGTTGGATTTTTATTATATATATATAATTTCAAAAAATCTTTTTTATATGCTATTGAATTTTAATACATACAATTTTGATTATATGTATTTTAATTGATTATATTTATAAGTATTTTTATATTATCTTAAAAAGACTGCATAGAATTATTTGTGCGACACTCTTATATGTATGTATAATTAATAGGGACCAACTACACATTTTTTTTTCCACTGAATAAAAACAATCTCAATATTAAAATTAAATTATAAAAAAGATACTGTGATATTTTATTGATGAGAAATGTACATTTATAATTGTATTAAATACAAAAATAAACATGCCATGAATTACTATATATACATATTTTCATAATTATCAAACTTAAAAATATAATATTGTTACCAAAGAAGAAAGCACTATTTAAAAACTCTAAAAGTTCATAATTTGTTAAATTAGTAATTAAATACTGCATTTTGTATAATTTTTAAGCTTTATTCTTTTATTTTTCTTTATTTAATTGAATAGATATTAACATCCACAATGTAGCATACAGATTAAATTAACAACCAAAGAAATAAATCTTAACTTTGAAATATATTTTTGTTTCTTTTAAATATCAATCAACTGGATTTTGTACTACTATTAATATGAATTCTTTATCTGGTGCCATCATAATTTTATGTTTTTTGCTACGTATGCGCAAGAAAGTTAAATCATTTGTTGGATTCAAGTCACGTACGACAGAACGAGCTTTATCTGACAATTGACTTATCAAACCTGCGTATTGAACTGTTGTCGTATTATCTAATGTTGACTTTATAGGAATACCTAAAACAGATATAATTTTATAAATTTTTGTTTACAACTACAAGTAAATCATGTCAATGATCTCATGTAATACCTTCTGCATTCACCACTATTGTTCCAACTACCCTTTTATGAGACTGAATTTGTTTCATAGTTTCTTCAACCTCTTATAAATTATTTCATCGAAATTTATTAATAAAATTTTTATTTTAAATATTCCAATAACGGAAGCAAATCATATGGAATAAATGCGTTCTTTAATTGTAGGCTGCGTATGTGGTGGATGACTGTAAGTCCGACAAAATTCCAATATTCCATGGGAATCTATCAAAATCCATATTGTCATACTTAGCCAATGTATTACGCAATATATTATGGTATATACAGGCCAGATGCTTGCAATGACACTGAGCAATAAGATCCTTGCCACTACAATCACAATGATAAAAATGATTAAATAAATTTAAAAAAATATATATTTTGATACAAAGTGTGTGATGAATAATATTTAATTTTGTATATTAATTATTGGATATATATGTACCTGCAATAAGAAAATGCCAGAAAAATTGTAAAATAGTTCCTATAGCACTGATATTAGATTTATCTTGTTAAGCTAATCGAATGCTGCGATGATAACTAGCCATTGCCCAACCCATGCTCACAAGTGAGCTGATAATGCTACCTGCTTGATGTACAACTGAAAAAAATATAGAAGCTAATTAAGAAAATTATTAAAAATATATGCATACTCATACATAGGCATTTATATTATTGAAATAATAGCAAAATATCTGATTTTGTATCACAGACTGTAAACTTGCACATGAATTATTATGACAATAAATTTGCAAATAATAACATTAAAATTGCATGTAAAAATTGAAATTGAAAATATCTAACCCCGCACGCTGTCAATATAGCGGAGGGCAACTATTATTAAAAATATATGCATACTCATACATAGGCATTTATATAATTGAAATATTATTGAAATATTATGACCATAAATTTGCAAATAATAACATTAAAATTGAATGTAAAAATTGAAATTGAAAATATCTAACCCCGCACGTTGATTGATTGAATTGAAAATATCTAACCCCGACGCTGTCAATATAGCGGAGGGCAACTATCGCCGTCTGTTGTAAAACGTGCGAGATGGACATTTCCAATACATGCATCTATTTATGTGTTGTGTACGTGTGATATATGTGTGCGCATGTGTTGTATACGTGTGAATACGTGTAGCACGATACTACTATGTTTGCGTGGTCGATGATGACAATGATGACGGGGACGTTTCTTAAAGAAATTTTTCATATTTCGACTTTGCATTTTTATATCTCTGCTTACAAATCACGTAGAGCAGAAATAAAGACACTTTATTATATAATTCAAACTCAATCTATCGATTAAGTCTAGTATAAACTCGATTGCTTCAGCCGTTATTGAGAATTCGAAATATTATAAAGACTCAAATGTCCGACTCGCGTTAAGATACACGGTGTCTCGGCTACGTCCTTAACTGGTCGCGAGACACTACCGTGTCTCTTGATGTATATATTATATAAATCTACGTATGTACATACATTATACATATATATAACATTGTAATGCTCTAGATTGTAAATATTATATTACATTCTGATATTTCTGTTTTATCGCAAAACGTTAGTAAATATCGTACTATGTTTTATTGCACGTCATACAATATTATAATATTTAATAATGGGGTTATGTATTTCACAAGTAGATTCGAATTTGTATTTCGAACTCTTCATCATTACTTCAAAAATAAAAAGCGGTACTTTCCAGTAGACTCAATCCTGGACGAGATAGAACTCTTTATAAATATATCGAAAAACAAGAACAATATAAACACTTTCAAGTACATTCGAACCTGCATCAAATTATATTCGAATCTTTCATAAATAAAATATTTACGTTGTTACAAATCAAAATATTAATTTTATATAAAACTATTTTCATATATAACTTTTATTATAATTTAAACTTTTTACAAACAATAAAAAGTATAACACAAAATTTAATACATAATGTATGTTAATATTTAATATATAATATTAATATATAATATATAATACATAAATTATAATGAATATAAGTATGCTGTCTTCTAAGCCGGGCAATAGAGCCAAGGAAACGAAAACGAAACGAAAAATTAATTAAACGGAACTGTATCTCAATTTGAGATCCCAAGTTCCACATATAAATTAATTTCGTAACTACATATGGAGAAATAATAATTATTCTCCATATGTAAGTTACGAAATTTAATTTATATGTGGAACTTTGGATCTCAAATTGAGATACAGTTCCGTTTAATTAATTTTTCGTTTCGTTTTCGTTTCCTTGGCTCTATTGCCCGGCTTAGAAGACAGCATACTTATATTCTTTATATTGAGAGCCGATAAAAAATTATTTCTGAATAAATTATAATATTTATAATATTAATATATTATATATATATAGAATATTATATATATATATATAAATGTAATATAACTATTATATAATATTTAATAATATTTCATATTTCTTGTGAATATTAGGTGACTGTGGACCTGGGGAAAGATGCGGAGTTTCAGTGTTCCGTCACGGTCAGCCACATCCGGTAATCTCATGGCAAAGGATGGTCTTCCTATACGCGAAGGATCGTCGGGTAGGAGCAAGATTACGGGTAACGATGGCTCGACGTTGCGCATATCTTCTATCGTGCGGGATGACAAAGGGATGTATCAGTGTTTCGCCAAAAACGACTACGAGATGGTACAAGCCACGGCTGAATTGCGTTTGGGAGGTAAGGATTTGTTCGAACGTAATCTCTTATTCTCGTAAAAAAGTCTATCTAAAAACTGCTTTGATCCATTTTCGATGGTTTTTATCAATCATGAAATTTTCAAAAGTCATGCTTTAGTGGTAAAGTAAACCAGTGTAAAAAAATAAAAGCTAAAATAAAATAAATTAAGAAAATATTTTCTTTTTAAAAAATCACTAATCTAAAAACCACGAATCAATTTTTCGACAGTTTTTATCAGTCATGAAACTTTAAGAGTATAAAAACTAAATCAATGTTAAAAAAAAATTAAAAGTTGAAGCATATATAAAATTTTAAAAATACTTTCTTCTTAAAAATAATTAATAATCCTTTTTCGATGGTTTTACCAATCACAAAACTTTAAAAAGTATCATACTGAATAAATTGTGATAAATCAAAGTAAAAAAAATTGAAAAAGAAAGTGTCGAAAATTTTTTAAATGTTTTTTAAAAATATTATATTGTATTTTTTACCAAATTAAACTTATTTATTAAATGTGTGCTTTTATATTATAGAATATAAAGCTTACTTAAATAAATTAATGTTATTTTTATACATAATTGTGCGAGATATATCTTAATAAAAAGCATACATATGCAACTCACTATCTGGAATTTCTTTTTTTTTCAATTCTTGTTTTAATTTCCACTTTCTGTTCGAAACAGAAAAAGTTGGGAGAGATACGTTTTCGAGGTATAGTAATATAACGGATGTATTTAAAGTACCATATACGAACCTCGATAAGGGAGGAGATAGGAAAAAGGGGGTTAAACGCAGACGAGCATCCGCGCAACTTTAGCAAAGTTTTATGAAAGTTCGCTCCAGAAAATAATAAGACCAAATTAAGGCTATTAACGGTACACCATTAACCGGCGGAAAACTCCTATTGCCAAAGTTTTGTCTCTTCTTTCCTTCCTTTTTTTGCGACTTTTCGCAGTTTTTATCGACTGTTTTAAGCTACGAGTCCGTTAAGTAGACAAAAGCATTGCCAGGAAACCGCCTTATTAAGCTACTGAACGACGTATTTTTTTAATTAAGGTTCATCCATGCGACGCATCCAGCTTTTATTATTCAATTACGTGCAAGCACGATAGGAGGAACATGAAATGGCGTAATAATTTATATCGGATTACAGAGACAGCTAAAAAATAAATTTTTCGAAAATATTTGTCTATGGCGAAAACTGATATTTGCTAGAATGCAGTTTCAAAAATAAATGAATTTTTATCGGACAGAGGGAAAAAAGAAATAAAATAAATTCATTCATTTTACGATTGTACATTCCTAAAATTATTACTATTACTATGCTATAAATATAAATATAAATAATATCACTAATATATTAATAACTTAAAAATATTTGTTATCAATAAAAAGTATATTTTTACTAATTTTTTGCATGAATTATAAAATCAGCTTTTAAAAAGTATTATTTATTCCGAATGCATCACGGATTAAATTCGAATTTCCTAGCCAAGAAAATCAAAAGTTCCGAGAGAAATGTTCGGAGGTGGGAATTCTCGGCGTATATTAGAGATCCCTTTCTTCGCCTTCTCGTTCTTGAGCCAAGATCTTGTTCAATAGGTGCAATCGAATTCCTTCATCGGCGCAAGTCGATTGTTCCTAGAACTTAGGGTGTTCTCTAGGACACAAGCGACAAGCGCGCAGGTACACTCTCTCGCATACAGATCGACCGAGGAAAATAAGGGCGGCGAGTTAGAGAGGAATACTCCCCGACCATACCGCGAGGGGTTGACGGGGTGAAATGTGCGGGCTTCAAGATAAAAAAAGGGGGATGAAAGGGGAAGAAAAGCGGAGAAAATGCTTAACGAGGGCGATGCATAATGGAGAAAGGAGAAATCCACTAGCCGGCGTGCCGTGAAATAAATACGCGCCATTTGTCTTAGTCAGAGGAGAGGTAGGGGTTTCGGTCGACCGGAGAGAGAATGGAAAGAGAAGGTGAGAAAGAGAGCGGGAGTGAAGAGAGAGAGGGAGAATCGCGGGCCAAGATGAACGTGGACGAATATTCCGTCGTCGTCGTCGTCGTCGTCGTCGTCGTCGTTCTTTCCACACGTACTCGTCGCCTTTAAAACGTTGGCAGAGACGATGGGCGGTGTTTTCGTGCGACATAATCCATTACCTTAAACGACCGCTGTCGCTTTCTCGACCGTCTTAAGATGCCCGTGCGAGGACGGATGCGGACCCGTTCGGACACCTTCATATTAGTTTCCGCCGTCTCCGTATCGTTTGGATTAAAAGGATTATAAATAGAGAAACTCGGGTTGATATATAGAATTGTTTTTATTGATATATTGTATTCACAATAAATGTAAAATTTTCAATAATTTATAAATCAATTAAAAAAAAAAATTATACTTAAAATGTAAATATAAAATAAATATAAATATAAAACTTATAAGGACAAAAGTTTAGTCCAATTTAGCAATTTTTATACTCTCAGTTCTTTAAAAAATGCTTTAATTAAATCTCCCACCTCTACCTTAAACGACCGCTGTCGCTTTCTCGACCGTCTTAAGATGCCCGTGCGAGGACGGATGCGGACCCGTTCGGACACCTTCATATTAGTTTCCGCCGTCTCCGTATCGTTTGGATTAAAAGGATTATAAATAGAGAAACTCGGGGTTGATATATAGAATTGTTTTATTGATATATTGTATTCACAGTAAATGTAAAATTTTCAATAATTTATAAATCAATTTAAAAAAAATAAAATCATACTTAGAATGTAAATATAAAATAAATATAAATATAAAACTTATAAGGACAAAAGTTTAGTCCAATTTGGCAATTTTTATACTCTCAATTCTTTAAAAAATGCTTTAATTAAATCTCCCACCTCTACCTTAAACGACCGCTGTCGCTTTCTCGACCGTCTTAAGATGCCCGTGCGAGGACGGATGCGGATCCGTTCGGACACCTTCACATTAGTTTCCTCCGTCTCCATATCGTTTGGATTAAAAGGATTATAAATAGAGAAACTCGGGGTTGATAATAGAATTGTTTTTATTGATATATTGTATTCACAATAAATGTAAAATTTTCAATAATTTATAAATCAATTTAAAAAAAAAAAATCATACTTAAAATGTAAATATAAAATAAATATAAATATAAAATTATAAGGACAAAAGTTTAGTCCAATTTGGCAATTTTTATACTCTCAGTTCTTTAAAAAATGCTTTAATTAAATCTCCCATTTCTACCTTAAACGACCGCTGTCGCTTTTCGAAAGTCTTAAGATGCGAGGACCCCTTCGGACACCTTCACATTAGTTTCCGCCGTCTCCGTATCGTTTGGATTAAGAGGAGGTTCTAGTCCAAAGGCCCGAAAATTAACGTAATTTCAGGAATTTTTTTTGAGCAAACGTAAATCTTTTTGAAAAAACTGTGGCATTATTAGTACATATTGACGAATCATACAAAATTTGTCGAGCAAAAAATAATTAAAAATGGTGGCTCCAGCCCTCACTGAAGAAAGCCGTGCGCGGCGTCGATAGTGAATGTGCGCGAAGCACTCTACAGCCCTGCCAAGTGATTTGAAAAAAAAAAACGAAAATATTCTAAACTAGATGAAATTCGGGGGCCTTATGAAATTCCGATTTTTTAAAAAACCTTTTAAAAAAAAAATGGCGGCCATTTGAAAAAAAAACCTGTTTTCCTATTTTTTTTTTGGTTTATGTTAAAAAAATAATATTAAAAATTGTTTTAAAAAAACGCTTCCTGAAGGCCCCCTAAATTGAATATTATAAACTTTCATTTGAGCCGTCAACATCAAATCGGTTCAGTCGTTGAAGCGGAATCGTGCTTCGACGCGCAAAAAAAAGGTGTTTCGAGAAAAACGCGTTAAAGTTTGAAGAACGAAAAAGAAAATAAATAAATGAATAAGGAGAGATGGAAAACTGACGAAGGGGGGCAGGAGACTTTTGAAAGGGAATATGAAACAAAAACATGAATCTAGGATATCAAGAAAAAATCAAAAAGATAAAAAATTGGGTTTTGACGATTGGAAGAGAACAGACAAAAAAAGGATTAGAAATAGAGAAAAGAGGGGTTGATATATTATAGGAATGCAAAGCAAAATTAATACCTAATCAAAAAAATCAAAGTACCAATGATCAAGCTCGTATGACAATAAAAACAATGATAAATTATTAAATTAAGGCCATGTGTAACGAGTCAATACGATATTATTTTATTATTGAGAAGAAAATTCTTAATTGAAATAATAATTATACAAACGTTTCGAGCTCTACTTGCTCCTCTTCAGTGCGCAAAAAATATAGTGATAATAAAAACGAAATAAATAAATACATAAAATTCTAATAAAAAACCGCAATACATAGTTAATATAAGTTATATAGTTGAGTCATAGTTAAAAGCAAAAATATTTACAATGAATTGAGACCATTAAAATAGTTCAACAAAGTAAGAACCCAATTAGAAGCAGATATTCGTCCGGTTATTCATTAAAATTATAGAATTATTAATAAAAAAACTTGGAGTGACACTTATACATACTCCAAATGAAACCACTTAATCGTTATTTGACGAAAGTCCCTCGATCTGGCAATGATTATGTCATCCTCTCCAAATTATTTGATATTTGTTAACTGATTTAAAGAATTTTATTCAATTGTAAAATAGGATTCCACTAATGTGTATGTGAAAAAAAGATTAAAAATTATAAATTAAACAACTAACTCTAAAATATTGAACCTTTATGCTTACAAATTGTCCGAATAACTGAGATGACGATGCTTCTAATTGTTGTTGGCCTTAT